GATGTGAAAGTTCATCAAGCTATATACTAAAGCTTGTTTGTTGTACAAATGTAAAATAACTTTAAAATCATGGGTGGCCCTATGTTAATGTAAAAAGCATCAATAATAATTGTAAAGATATTTGTTTACCACGTAGTTATACAAGACAGTTGCCAGTTTAAACACTTGGCACATCACTAAATCAAAACACCCTGAGGGCAGAGACCAATCTTACACTTCATCATTGCCCCGCCTGTGTGCAGGGCACACTTGGCCTGCAGCGGGGAATACTGCTTGATGGGCATGGTCAAGGGAAGACCCATGCCATTAATGACTCACTCTGAGAGCCAAAGTCACAAGATTCAGAATAGGGCACCTTACGGAAAAGTACGGATTTGGCCTCCCAGGACATTAGTCATCCGGCTTACCAAATCCACTCATCTGGGTATAAAAGTTTTTTGATTTTATACTATCTAATTTCATTAAGCTAATAAAAGTTACGTCTGCTAGAAAGAGTCTACTGGATGTCTAGTTATTTGAAGGGGAGTAGGTAGGACAAGGAAACTTTGACATTTTCTGTTCTTTCGTGTGAACACTGGTGTTCAGAGCTCATTCTTTTCTTTCTGTTCTCGTGGAAGCATGTGTTGTTTGACCTCACTAGCTTTCAAGACTATCTTCTGCTTCTTTGAGATATTTTCTCTGAGGTCATTAAATCCATCTCAGCCCATGCCACCTGATTTTCTTCACCTCACAACTCCTTCCCCATCTCAGCCCATGCCACCTGATTTTCTTCATCTCAAAATTCCTTCTCAAGTTGCTTTTGTGTGCCTAAGAACTGATTCCAACTTTCTGTCACCCAATTTCTTCTACGGGAACTGCAACGTATCTACCTTCTACAGACATTCCCAATGACCAGGGCTTTGACTGGCTGGGTGCTCACTCATTCATTTTGGTTATTCAACAGAGTCTCTGCTATGTTTTTTGTTTTTTATTTTAATTTTGCCAGAGGTTGCATGTGCTCATGGGAGAGAGGCATGGAGGAAGGGGGAACAAGAAAGCATCCCTCATAGGGATGGTCACAGCACAATCTCTTCTCCTGTTCTCCAATTTGGGATTTGGGGCACATAGGCACATGCATCAGGTGTGTTTTTCAAGCCACTGGGTCTGGGACTTTGTCAAACCATGCAGCTGGCAATGTGGGATCCAGCTGCCTTAACCACCATGCCATGGGCTGGCCCTCTGCTCTGTTTTAACATTCCAATTTCCAATAATGGTCTTTAGAATCACAACAAGTAATTTATTTGCAAAGGATAAACAAACAAGATAATTTTCGTGGTTAATAATATACAAGCTACAACTCTTAAGAAGAAGCAGTTAGTGGATGTGGGTTAGACCACAGGCCTACCCGATTTTACCCTCAGAATCATTCCAAAGAACGCAAGAGGAGCTCCCACGTCTGAAAACCCCTAGTGCCTGATTACTGCATACTGATGACAGGGAATAAATGAAGTTAAGAAATGTGGCCTTAGAGGGACAAAGCCCTAATCGTCTAGCATTGCATGCCCAGAACTAAGTCAAGTCTGTCTGTCCACAGAACTGCTGTTTTCCTCACTGTTCTCTTAGGGGTTGTATTCAGTTTGTGGGTCAAGTATAGATCCCTTACTGGAATGAGTGTCCTGATGTGTAAATCAGCCCCCTGGACATGTGACTTATAATTACGAATTTCTAGACCTGGAATGCTGGGAGTCAGAGTACTGCAGACAACCACCAAGAGAGTGCACGTGGGCACTTGCCAGTACTGTCTTCCTGAGGCCGGCAGTTGGACAACAGTGTCTTCTTCAGCCTGTCATGTGAAGAGTGAAAAGTCCACCAAATGAGACTCATGGGGCACATACACTAACACCCAAGTTCTCCGCCTGTTCCCGGCCTCTATGTCATGCTCCATCAGCAACACTACTCAGTGAAATGCAGTGATTCTTAATGGGAGGTACAGGAGAGAGAGAATAAGAAGGCCCTCCAACAGAATCTCAAAAAGGGGTAGCTGTGTAATTTTAACTGAAGCACTCCCTCCACTACTTCTCTCTACCCCATGCCTAGTCCAACCCAGAAACACCCATAGAGAGACACACAAAGAGAGACAGAGGTTTATCCTATCCCCCAACATTCTCTTTCAAGCAGAAGCTGAAGAGTGCATGGGTGTGTGGTCAGAAGGATATGGCAGAATTTAGATGGAGGCTGGCTGAACAAGATGAACAGGTAAGAAAGGCAGAAAGCAATCAAAAAGCAACCCCTTGTGCCACGTAAATAAGAGGCTACGGAAAACATTCAAAACAATGTCACGTTTTCTTGAATGTGACTTGTTCATGGTTTTTCAAATCTAACCAAATGGTATTTACATAGATTGGTGTTACTGATGACCACCATCTTTTCCCAACTTGGAACACCTTGATTCTGGAAGTTTACTAAAAAGGTTTTTGGCTTCTTCAACTATCAACATGATTTATAAGGCAATCACATTATTTTTAAAATATGCTGGATTAAATCCTGGTGTTCACATTAAAGCAAAAAGCACCAAGAAACCACTTTACTGGGAAAATTTCTTTTTTTTTTTTTTTTTTAAGTTCAAATCTATCTGTTCAATTTTAACTAATCTGTTTACGGAAATGCATTCATGTCAATAAAGACTCTAAATGCCGTTATTTGACTATGTTTGTTGAGTGTCCTTATAGTTAGCAAGTAAAAACTTTCTACTGCAAACACTATAAAATGCTTATGATTATATCCAAGTCACAAGTCTCCTATGGAGAGATTAATTTATCTTTTCATTATTAAGGGTATATTATTAACACATGGATTAGGGACTGGCTAAATGTTAACTGGACCTGACAACGCGAGGATGGACTGATTAAGACAACAACCCCTAATAGTCTGTGGAGTCCTGAAATGTGACCTGTTTCATACCTACTCCTCCCTCTTTTTATCGTAACTTCCTTTCTCACTGACTCCCTCAGTTTTCGTGCTCTAACCCTTCTCCATTTTGCCTTTTCCCCAGTAGATTTTGTCTGGGAAGCCTGAGAGTACTTAATGCTCTTCTATCTCCAGCAGGAAATTGCTGCTGGGGGACTTCCTACCAGAGCTAAGCTGTCTTCCTGCAGTGCAGGAGGTAGGCTTGGGGGGTGTAGTGAAGGCTGCTAGAATGGATCCCAGACCTTGGGCCACACAGCCTTGTGGTGAGGGATCCCACAGCCTCCTCACACCTCCTATGTGCATTCCAGCTCACAGAGCAATTTCACACACTAGCTGGCAATCCTTAAGCCTGCTGTAAAACCAACCAGGGATTCACCTCATCCATCACTGCACTCAGCTGCCTTTTGAGGGCCACACAAGGGATGGTAGGCTTTTCCTTAACCAGGGTGAACTCCCTCAAACTCAAACCATGAGAAACAAAATGGATAGAAGCAGACTTAGAGTTCAATATGGGCTCCAAAGGCAGAGGGAGCTGGTTCCAGCACTTCTTCAGAACTAACTAGTTGGGTGACCTTGGGCAGATGACCTTATCTTCTTAAACCTGTCTCCTCCTTAGTAAAATGTTGATAGCAAAACCTACTTTACAGGATTATAGAAGCTTTGAAAGAAATGATGCAGGTCATGCCCAATGTCAGGTATACATAAAGTAGTTGGTAAATGTGAACTTCTTGGTGATTTAAAAGTGGTGAGGGTTAGGGGTTAACCTTCTGGGGTCTGGAGCTAGACTGCTTGGGTTAAATCCCATCCTTAGCCTTTAATAACTGTGGGCAGCAGATAAGTTACCATCTTTCAGTGTCTCCAAAATTAAAATGTACTTTTATTATGCACAGAGTAGATATCTGATAAATATTAGCTAAAATATTCTTACTTCATTGGGAGTGAAAACAGCTGTTTCCATTTCAACCAACAATGCACAATGCAGAGAGTGAAATGAGAGTTCAGGGCAATGTGTAGTTTTTTAAAATTGTGAGAACCTTGTATGTATTTGATTTTTCTTTCTTTCTTTTTTTTTTTTTTGGCAGTCAAGCAGTGTTGCCCAGGGTGGGGCTAAACTGTAACATGAAGGAAACTCAGAGAGGGAGTATAAAACCACCCACCAGGGAGCAAGTTCTTTTGTAATGTGCATTCCATTTCTTCTCCCTCATGCTTTTTAATTCCTTGCACATTTCCTGCCATAATTATCAAATGTTTAGTTTCTGACCTCACTTTTCTGGAGACTAGAGCCCAGGGAATTTAGAATTGTTTATTTTCTGTCCATAAACCTTGGAGTTAATGGAGGGGCTTGTGAGCAAAGGGTTTGTTGGTGTGTTTGCTAGTGCCTTAGGAAGGTCAATGGAGTTGAAAAGAAAACATTAAAAAAAAAAAAAAGGCGCTGAAATGCTCTGACTGGAAACTCGGAGCCCCCAAAGGGCAGAGGAATGCCTCTCTCACTTGCGCAATGTTAGTTTAAAGGCATATTTAGACTTTAAAAGGCCGTTATATCGCCCAGATAACAACAGAAACCCGGGAGCAGTTTGCAAAGGAAATAAAATTTAGGGAATCATAATTTTACTTTATCAAAAAGGAAAAAAAAAAAAAAAAACTTTGCCCCAAATGAAGGCTCTTTGGACATTTTAATTTTTTCCTCCGGAGAAGATAAGACTTAGAAGGGAAAACTCCCCAACTATTTTCAATTTCCTCCCAAGTGAGGGAGAGAACTTGGCCGCCTCCGTCCCCGGCGGCCCCGCTCGTCCCCTCTCTCCGCCCCTCTCCCTCCATGTTAGCGCGGCGGGGCTCCCGCGCTTGGCCCCAACTACTTTTCCTGATTCTGAGCTTTAAGTTTCCTAAGCAGCATTTCTGCTCAGAGCGCCCCCAGCCTTACCACACCCCAAGTACGGAAACTCCCGGTCCCGCCCGGGGACAGTGCCCCCAGGACGCACGCCTGGCCCGGCCCGCCCCGCGCACACCCGAGTGGCCCCGGGCTCGAGTCCCGACCCCGTCCGTCCCTCACCTACCTCCGCGTGGACGCAGGCGACCGCCACCAGCGCGAGCGCGAGGCAGCGTTTCCACCTCTGC